AACATATTCTCATCAATGTTCAAGAAATATTTTTAAAAATTGTAAACTTTTCTGATTGGGTGGATTTCCTGAACATTGATGTGAATACGCTCTGTAGTAGCGAAAAAGTAATACCGATATTTTCTTGGTTTCATCGACTTCATCGATATAGGTGTAATATAAAGAAGTTTCATACATAAGTTGTCACCTTTTTTTTACCCCCTTTGAGATGAAATTTTTAAAAATCTGTTCTAAGTACACCTCTAACTATCTAATTACAAGTTTTTACGACCAGTAGTTTAGGCTGTGCGTTGTCTATCAGTCAGTATGTCAGAACATCTCCTTTTATATATGTATGGATGAAATAATTAATCACAAGGATCTAATACTTGTACGCCAAAATTTTTAACAGCCATTAGCGCAACTGATTGTCACCCTAATGTCACTCGTAACTCGTTGCTGACGTCGCTTCAACAATCTGCGTAAACGTTAAGTAACTGATTTCGTTCGGCTATGTCGTATCTATATATAAGTATAAAACGAAATACGCTGTTCGCTGAAATCTCTTAAACTGCACAGCAGATTTATTTTACATTTTAGCGATTTTCATCAATATACAGAGTAATTCAAGAGGAAGGAGGAATATACATTTTTTATAGTCAGCACCACGTGGGCGAAACCGCTTACGGAAAGCTATAGTATTTAAGTAATAAATATAAAACAGGGGCAGCTTGAATACTGGACATTGCATAATGACTAATAAGTGCTAACTGTTTAATAAACTCTATCTATTGTCTGACTTTCGTACGTAAAGTGACGAGAATAGTACAAAAATATAGTACAAAAACACTAAAGGAAATTAAGAAGATAACTCTCGTTAAAAAAGGGTATCTCCCTATCCGTTTTATTACACGGACTATTTACTAATAAACTTGATAAAAAATTCCCCACTGCGCATTTGCAACTTTACTTTGATAATGGCGCTATTCTCATATCTAATTGCGCCGTGTCATGGCCATCGTGTATTTTCAATATGATTCTTACTAACTAATCATTGGCATCTTCGTCATCAACTTCGTCATCATTAGGAAGATCATGAAACACTGATGACTATGTAGTCTGTATGTACAGAATAATAAACAAAGGCAATATATATTACAAGAACTTGCACAATGAAAAAAAAATGTGGCGCAATACATTATAAATTTGTTGAAAATCACAATATCTATTTGCCAGTTTTATTGAAACGTCACTGTAAACAGCTTGTGATTTAAAAAAAGAAAAAAAAAGTATCTTGGATCAGCTGATCGAGTGTTTCGTTAACTCTTTTGCGTTCAAAAGGTGAGTACCGTTAATAAGGTCTTTAGCATGGCGTACCCTTAGCAATAACGAGGTGTCAATTCTGGCGTGAGCGTCACGAGTGCATCTAGTGAATTATTCTTCATAATAATTAATCAAATGAGCACCTTTGGTTGATTTATACTTTTATCATTGGTAATAAATATCCAGTTACTTGTACCATTTCAATATTTTAGCATATTAAACATGATATATAGTTCATTTATTCTACTTAGGATGATGACTATAGATTATTATACATTCTCGCAAAACTTAACCAGACTTCACTTTGACCATACTTTATTGAATAATTTAAAAAAAATAAACGATTTTCTTCCCAGTCACCCTATAGAAAAGTACCTAATAAGCATTGAACGATTGCGACAGGTCCCAATATCCATATAATTCCTGTCCACTATGTGATCACATTACATCATTATTTTATGAGTATTGTTAATATTGTTAAGAAACATTACTTTGTTGATTGGCAAACACAAACAAAACTGTTCAGATAAAACCAAAATAGTATATAATAATAAATTAGCTGCTCATGAAAATCTAAAGTCTTTAGTATCGTTTTCGTATTATTATCGATATATCTGTTGTGTAACTCTCTAAACTAATTTTATTTCTGATTGTTTTAACGTTATTCCATAGTCGTATGTAATCAAAGAAATATAATTTCCACTAGTGTAACATGACACCCGAAGACTGACTGACCAAAATCTATTTCGCTGTAAACGAAAATTTCAGTTCTTTTCGAAATGCTAATACCACTCCAAAGACGACCTCTGATGCACAAATAATCATCACGGATTTGATTTTAATAAAATTATGATGTCTCCAAATTTTTCCGAATTTTCGATTGGCGACAAATAGAGCCCTCAGTTGTCACGTTAATTCATACGAGTTATATTCTCCCGTAATATATATAGTTTAGTTCTGTCATTTTAGTTATTTTCACAATTAGAAGCGCAGTTTGACAGCACTTAACATTAATTTAGTCCAGGGGGCCAATTCTACTAAATAAATTTTGTTTAAATCGAATCGAAAACGGATCGAAACCGAACGAAAGTACAGTTTTTAATGGTTTTCCTATTCTACAAAGTGACATACGATACAATTCCAGTTCTATTTTAACAGGAATTGTATCGTATATTTATTTAGTAGAATTAGCCCTCAGTATGTGCAACAGGAATGCTACCATTGCGATTTTTTAACAGTGCCGAAGTATAACCTCACTTTTTAAATTTGTAGGTACTTAGGCGGGAAGTAAAGACCAAATACTCTTCTTATCTATTTCATTAGTAGGCATTTACTTAGGGATGGGGCAAAATTGTAAAACATAAGATATAACTCACTTTGTAACCCTCATCTACAACTACTTAGTAGTTGTAGTTACACAAAAAGTTATTATTTTAGGGGTAACTTTATTTTTTTTATCTGTTTTTTTTATAAATTTAATCCAATACCTACCCTAACAAATATAATATAATTTTAATGACAGCTTACTTGAACGTTATAAAACAATAGTAATGAGGACTGAGTTAAAAAATAAATATTATTTTTAATTTATTAGACTGTCATCAATATTAGATACGTATTTTCAATTAAACAAGAAATGGCTTTGATAATAAGCATTACAGTTAACGAGTGGGGGCTCGCTACGTCACAGTTTTGTATAAAAGTGTAACGTCATGCGACATTTCAACTCAATATACGTCGTAATTTATAGATTACGCAAAAAAAATTAAGTATTTTAATATTATTCAATAATCTACCTGACAGACAAATAAAAAAATTGTCATCATCCATATTGGACTTAGTCTTCATTTTTGGTATGCGCTCTAATATAATGCAAAGGCTTAAGGGCGGAAGCAAATTCTACATAACATAGATACGTAGGTACAGGAAACCATTTATAAAAAACATATATATTAAAACATACGTATTTACGAAATATACGGATATCGATTTCCTAGTAAACAAAGCACTTAACTGTCTCTAAACTAGTAAGGTCGTAGTTAACTAACATTATACACATAAATACTGAGAATTTACCTTCGTAATATTATTTATGTCTTCGTTTTCTTTATTGATATCTATAGAATAACTGGGATAACTAGTTTGTAGTGCTTTAAAAGCTACGTGTGCGCTATTAAGAATACTGTGGCGCAGAGGATAGCGCACTGGGCCTGCGATACGGTTTGTTATGCAACTTTCACGAGGGCCGATTATTGGATGGTTGACCAAAAATTTAATATGGCAAGCTCATCTGTGCTTCAGAAGGCACGTTAAGACGTTGATCCGGACTGTATCTGCAGTCGCTAACAACCACCAATCTACATTGGACCTACATGGCGGGCCATGGCCCATTCTCTCTATTCTGTAAAAAGACCTGGTCCCCAGACTGGGGACATTAATAGATTAGTTATAATATGTGCTTTACTATTATGCCAGGCTACGATAGTGGCATATATGTGAATTAACTTTTAATCATTAATAGATTACCTATTATTTATCTATTTATCTACCTGTTTATCTATTAATTAAAGTCGATTTGGCTGTCTTGTAGTAGATATAATTTTATTTTCAATGTGCATCTAAATTTTAAAAGCCCTGGTTGAACATTTGTTGGTTAAATGTCTTTTTGAAAACGCCTAACACATGAATCGCTTGTGAAGCAGCCAAAGTCAAATATATTTATATCCGCTCCGCTTTCCTAATATTAATTTGGGGTTGATGTACCTCCGAACTTGTTTCCGGCTAAGAAAGAGTCTAAATATGCGTCCCAGACAGATGGGACCTAAAATAAATTACATAACATTTATACCTACTTACGTATCTGTTTGTAGTATTCCGTACCCAAAGGATAAAACGGGAACCCTATTATTAAAACTTCGCAGTCTCTCTGTCATTTTTTATTTGTAAAAAAAGACAGACAGACTGCGAAGTTTTAATAATTATTTAATTAGTGGTAGTTTTAATAAAAATTTAATAAAAATAATTAGTTTTAAAAATAATTAAAGAAGTATTTTTGTTACCGTCAGAACAACAAAATATACTAATATCTAGAAAAAATACTAACAAACCAACATGCTCTTTTTACTACTTGTTTTTGCTCGATATCGAAAACGACAACAGGTAGACGCTTGAATATTTATAGAATGTTTCTTTCAATAGTAACTTTAAAAATAAACAATCAAATTAAAATTAAAGAAATATTTAAGGGGGACTCCCATACAACAAACGTACTTGGCAAGTATTTTGATATAATGGAATTGTAAACTAGTATTCAGAGTGCACACCATTAATCTGTGCGTCTGTGCTTGCGTACACCTACCTAGACTAGTCTTTAATCTGGTTTGTCGAGATTTTGCTGCTTCCTCATACAATGCAATGTTGAGAAATTAAATAGGATTCCCTAGCAAAGATTACTTAGAATTACGAACTTAGTCACAATGTGTCATATAATTGAGTAATAATAAGAAGCGATTTAAATAATTTGAAAATGAATAAGTAGGAAGTATACAATAAAATTATAGGTAATTTATTAATATCGATTTGGTTATCGCGGATTTCTGGTCGCTAATAAAAGTAAATGACCACAAAATAAAATAGTTGTTGGGTAATACATATTACTATAACTTAAAATAAGTGTTTCAAAACAATAATATATTTTACTAGTAGCTGAATATGATTTGAGGAAATTGATAAACAAATTACAATTGAAAAACTTTTGTTGACGTGATATATTGCCAAACGTAAATGAATGGTCTTAGTCTGTCTCTTTCTGCGGGACGGTAGTAACGTATTATAGAGCGAGACATAAAACGTACAGTTGCTTCGTTTACTAAACGCATGGCGTAGCTTTGCGTACTACGCAAGTTGACGCTGTGTCGACATTGGACGTTGGATCGCTTGCCGGCCCGAGGCTTCGCGATCGGGAGCGGGGCGAGCGAGCGAACGCCGTCGTTCTGTCAGCCAGTCTCGCAATGGCGTTGGTTCGGTTAGGTCGTGTGTTCGTTTAGTTTCGCAACAACCCGAGCGGACACCGGCCCAAAATATTGGCCTGTCTATTCGTCTTCGAATTACTCGGAAACACTTCCTGTAATTCCTAACGCAACACAGCGACGTATTCGCCGCCACGGACAGTCAAATTTTGGTACGATATCCACTCAGGGCGAATCATTTCAAGGTTCGTACTTCATTCGTAATTTCCCCTTACTAAAGTAACGTTACTAAATCGTCGATTGTCTCGTAGTTTCGTTTTTAAATTTTGTAACATCGGCGTCCGCAATAAATTCGCGAACGCAACACGGTCAAGTGTGAAACTCACGTTTCTAATTTACTGTTGTGTTTTGTTCGCAGATCATGTTCATCTCATCTTAGTTCCTGCTTCTTATTAAGTGTTTTGTGTGTGTTGTGACATTGTGTAGTGACAGTGAGAGTGTAGTGATGGATCCGGGATCACCTTCGTTGTTATGGCCGCTGCGCCTGAGCAAGCCTACTGGAAGTATGTCGGCTGTGGTTGCGGGAGAACACAGTAAAGCCGAAGAAAGGTCGACGTCGCCGGCGCTAGCAGACCGGCTAGCGGCGGCGCCGTCGTCGCCAGCCAGCCCCGCGCCTCCTAGTCCGACGCCCCCTCAACACCAGTTTCAAGCGGCCCTAGTCGCTGAAAAGTACCTCTTGTTGGAACAAGTCGAGGGCTCCTCGCTTTGCCGGTGTGTGGACGTGCGCACTCAAGAGGAATACGTTTGTAAAGTGAGTCTGTCATCAGTTAATTAAAGAACTTTGTTAATAATCGAATCCGCAAACAACTTCAAAAACATCACAATTAACACAGTTTGGACAAAGAAAAGTAATCGTACTTCGCAATTTTTGATAAAGACTGTAAAATTCTTATAAGTAGATAGGTAGGCATAATAATAATTGTTATCTGTTGTAATGTCTGAAAACTTTACACAAGCAAACCACATATTTTATCTGCTTATTCTAAAATATGTACAGTCAACAACAGGTTTTGCTTTAACTATTCATACTAAATAACTTATAAGAAAATCAGATCGATTTTATAACGTATAGAATAAAAATGAATAACAAATCAGAAGTTTAATAGTGTACAGACCACATTCTGTTATATTTTTATATGACTAATGTTCCTATCGATAGTATTATACCTATACATACCTACACAATACCTAAGTAGATAGATATCGCACGAGTATCATTATGTATGCTAGAATTCAATGTCAGACTGATATACATAGATACCTACCTATACGGAATAAGTATATTTTTCCCTGTTACTGGCTGGAGCTACGCCACTATTAACTAAATCTATGTAGGTAGGTAGGTGAATAAATAAGAACAAAGCAGGTAGGACGATAATAATATTATTTTCTATGATCTGTCATTTCCTATCACAGATTAGATATTTATCGTAGATGTTAAAAATTGATTACCTACAAAGTTATGTCTAAGAATACTTATAATTGTTTTTTCAAAATAAATTAATGGCCATCTCGTATTGTAATGGAGTATGAATGTGATAGGTAATTTTACATTGTGTCAAAGTTTAGTTTGGGAAAAGACAACCTCTATTGTTTAACTAAACGATCTATCAAGGCGCGACACGACTAGGATAACGTGTGCCGTGTCGACATTGCGACGGATTTCAACAACTCTTGCGCAGCGCAGAGCCGTTTGATTGATATAGTGCGTAATCTCTTGTTCTACGCGACCTCTGGTCCATTTGTTAATTGCTCATACAAAGTTGAAATACCAGTACAAATTGAAAAAAACACTAAATCTGTGGTCTAATTTTAAAATTATCGCAAGCCCTTTCAATTTGACATGTGATAGCGATTACTGTCGTGACTTTTTTTATTTTTAATTAATACTAATTGAGTAATGGCAGACGAAATAGTTGAATGCCAAATGCAATCTTTCGACTGGTTTAGCTAAGTTTTTTTTTAATGTTTCTTGATCAGTCAAATGATCACTTGTGACTTTAAATGTTACATAATTCCATAAATAGCTATTACAATCAAAAACAACATTGAAAGGGGTTGCGATAGATTTTGAAATTAGAATTTAGCCCACACCGTTTCCATAACTTGTCATTTAAAACATCTTAAGGATAGAGTTTATGAATACTCATTTCCTTTGCTAAGATTACAACAGACATGTAATGTAATGTTAACCCATTAAAATTTACATCGAAACGCAAAATCTGGCGATTACAAAGGGTGCGTTCTATCCCACGGGATCCAGACCCCATGTAGAGATAAGCCTAGATCGAATAATGTGCCCACATAGAGAGACCCTTCCATCGAAATTATCAATAGTTACTTGAGTGAAAATAACAAATATGACTTTTGAGAATTATTATCTAACTAGAAAAGTTCTCATGTCAATTAATTCATCTATTAAATTAAATTAATTAATTCAAACGAAGCGCACGATTGTTTGCCTTGGCTTAGCTTAGAACAAAGCAGTCTATCATTAAAATTGCTTAGCGGTTCAAACGGTATGTGTCTGTCTAATTAAAAGAATTATTTTTTTGTTTTTCATGAACGCTAATGTATTGTTCACTCACTACATTACTGTATAACGCCGGTGTCACATTTTATGTGTCATGGGCTCACGGCCTTTTGCTGCTCGATCGCACTTGTAGGCCACTGACGTTGCCTTTTTTACAATGTCATGTGTACTTAAACCTCGATCGAAACTTTAAATATACGGTACTAAAACGGGATTAAATTCAACACAATATTAGTTATCAAAATGTCGTTTAAATTATGTGTAGTAATCAGATGTCAACATAAGTTTTCCTTATAGCTCTTATCAGAGTTTAAGAAGTTACTATGCGGAAAATAGTAAGAAGTAACTTAAAGGTATCCAATAATTGATAATTATAAAATCGAACCGCTAAAGGTTTTAATTTTTAAATTAATTTGTTAATTATACTTCACATACCCATGTGCAGTCATGTCATTATGTGTCATTAAATACTCGGGAATATTCGTCAGCCTTTGAATATGCTCGGACAAACCTTTCCTTTCCTTATTAGCATTCCATGACGTAGTGGATAAGCGCCGCGGCCCGCGAGCGTAGTCGTTAAGCAACTTTCGCTAGGGTCGGTCACGGGATGGGTGACCAAAAAATTATTATCTCGAGCTACTCCGTGCTTCGGAAGGCACGTTAAGCCGTTGGTCCCGGCTGCATTTGCAGTCGTTAATATCCTCCAATCCGCATTGGGCCAGCGTGGAGGATCATGGCCCATCCTCCTTAACCATCCATAAGGAAGGCCTGAGCCCCTGCAGTGGGGACATAAAAGGGCTGGTAGTGGTAGTGGTGGTGGTATACCAACATAGTTTTTAGTGTTAACAAAGGTCTATATGGGTATTGTCAAGGCACAGAATAGGCACTTCCCTCGTGAGAACCTGGCAAGGTTAAGTGAGGCAACGTTATCATTGCTAAACGGCGTAGAGTATTTACAACACACCCGAGTCTTGCCGACACGACCGACGCATTTATTATTTTGCATTACGTACACAGTACGTAAAAGCTTCGCAATTTTACATACCTACTATTCATCTAGTAACAATCTTTGAATCTGTAAAATCTGTATCGATTATGTTTGCCCGTCACACGTGGACGCGTTTGATCACCCCCAATATAGTTATGACCTTCTCATTGACATTGTGAAATAGACGAGTTGATAACGTGCCGATCGCCGAATGTCATAGCGAGGCTAGCTGGGGCCCCCCTCCTAGCGATCGTCCCCCCACTAAAACGGCATAGCGCACGCCTTAATGAATGCGGTACCTCACTACATTGCTTGTTTGAAATGACCGCATTTAACTTTATTCTAAAGCTGAGCAGAGATATACTGCGAGTCTAGCGAAATAACTTCGAACTTATCATTGAGTTACTGCAGTAAATCTGCACATAATTCGAGTCAACCGTCGCTAGGCATCGTCTCGTACTGTAAACTTCGAATGTGGATTGCTTGAGGCAAGCGAATGGCTCACGAAGCGGGTTGTTGATGACAATAAACGACACATTATGCGCATACTGACGTCTTTTACCTCTCGTGTGGGTATAGCAATAATAGGAATATTCTTTAACTTGGAATATTATAACTGAGAAACTATAAATTAGTCAAATGTTACGTTTTTCTAACACCATAATATTGTGATTTATAATAATCAACAAATACTCCCAAGCCAATATTTTGCAATATAAGTTTACGATTAAACACATATGATAAGAAAGTAGGTTAGCTCCCGTAATATGCAACCAAATATTATCAAATGCTACACTAGCATCGCAAATTCTTATCGCCCCGCCTCATCGCAAACAAATTGACAAATAGGTCATGTTTTTTACGTATCAATAAAAGTTTAATATAAATCACTGTAGTCACGTAACGCTTCGGAACATCTGCACCAACTACCGATCACTACCACTAAAATAACATTAACTATTTATAACAAAGAATGAAAAAAGAAATGGCCCCAGACACGCGACGTGATTCATATTTTATTCGTGAGTGTAGAAGTCGGATTTGGAATATACTTTAAGAATGTCATTGACGTTGCGCCTGCCTGCTTGAAAATAAACCATGACTGGCAATAAATCCATATTTCCACCTGGTTTGTGTTCCGTTACAGCGCCAAGAATAGTTAAATATACTATAAGTATAAAAGTATGCGTATAGTGAACTAGTCTTTCAAAAATATTCTATTTAGAGCTAGCTGTCCGAAATTGCGAAGGGTCACCTCTATTCACTAGCAAAAATATTTAAAATCTTGTTATTCACGTCAGACTTACTCCTTTCAATACAAGATGGCTTTAGAATTTAACCCCTTTGAAACTTGGATAAGCTTTACTTAGCTAACATTATACGTGAAATAGGTTACCAAAAATATGTTTAACCTTCTTAAATGCGATGATAATAAATAATCAACTAGAAACGACAAATATCTTAAATGTTTTTAATTTTTTTTTTAAATAAATTTTCTATTTCGAAAAGTCAAAATTTAGCTGTATACGGATAGTTTCAGTTTTATTTGTAATCACCAAAAGCACGATCGTAAATATTTACAAGGGTATATAATAAATAAAAAAAAGTTTTTGAAATATGAATCTTAAATTGAAAAAAAACACACACAAAGATTACATAATTGGTAACCCTCATTACTTTCTTCCTAGGTGGTGTCACGAGACTGCAGTAGTTTACTACAAGCTCACTACCGTCTCGATGGTCATCCGCACGTTAATCCAATACACGAAGTTCTAGTCGGTCAGAAGAGGGTCTATCTAATATTCCCTCGATCGCACTCTGACCTCCACTCTTATGTGAGGGCTCGGAAACGACTAAGGGAGCCTGAAGCCCGCAGGCTCTTCAGACAAATGGCAGAAACTGTTGCAGCGTGCCATGAACAAGGAATCGTTTTAAGAGACCTCAAACTAAGAAAATTCGTGTTTGCTGACGCACAGAGGTGAGTTTCATGCTCGTTTGATTAAATTATAACCACTGTAAAATATATCTATGACGTTACTTACCATTATGACGCCAACCGAGAAGCATTCAAGCGCGGTTCCGATTGCCGCCGTGCGCTAAATTCTGCCAATGAAATATCTGACGCAATGGTTCCTTAGCGACAAACAAACTGATATCTCCGGCAATCGACCCGCTGCGCCTATGATCGATCGATTGTTTCCTGAACGTTTTTTTAGCCGTGAGAGATGTTGTGGTGGTAAACTCTGTTTCTGATGAGAAATATTTTTGTTGTACAACGGAAGTTGGTACTCTTTAGTAGAACGTCATTTCCTTTCGTGAGTCAATAGCGCCCCGTACGACCGCGATAAAACAGTTATCGACTCATTCATTATGATAATTTGCGGAGGTACGTGTCACTTCCATTGTGGTAGTTATCGTTCTTAGTAAACTGGTCCATTGTTACCTTCCACATTAAGTACCGGCGCCAGAATAAATTGCTACCTTATCAGAATCGCAAACGATATAACGCTTAAAATATGTATTAATAACAAACTGTTAAAAAACAGGGCTATAGGGTTTACGATAGGATTACTCAACGTTTTTATTAATTGCGGCCGTCAGCCGATAGGAACCGGCGGATTTTCGAACTTTTGAAATGTTATCTGGCCTCCATTGTTGCGAATATCTCCGGCAGTGCTAGCGACTCAAGGCGAACGGTGTCATTGCTGCGTACAATACTACGCCGCAATCGGGTCAAGGGGCTGTTGATATGCGCTTGCGCACCATCCACGCGTGTATATTCACATCCCCCATGTAATATTTATGCGGGTACCTGCTTCACTTTATCAGGTGATTCTAAATACCCTCATGGAAAATTAAACCTGGCTTATGCACCCCTCATCGACATTCCAACTGGGTTTTTTAAACGAAACGTTTCTTTGGTCTCACAAATTAGAATTTTTTCACCTGCCCGTATCTCAAAGTAACGATTATTGAGTTTATAAAATCTATTGTAACTTTAATTTAACTGGATTAGGATCTCGGTGGAAAAAACATTGTTTGTATATTTAATTCAGTTGAGTGATTAGTTTTTTTTTTTTGTTAGAAATCCTTTCATCGTTATTTCTTAAATGACTGGTTGTGAATGTTTGTTCTCGTCCCATGTCGGAGCCATCATACAGCTTTTGTGTCAGTTATCCTCAGTGACTCCTGTCGAGATAATTCGGTACGCCTCCACGCACTTCGGGACTTGACTCAGCGCAATCGTTTCTTTGACCTTTGTCGCGACGCTCGTCCCTGGTGACATTCATATCTCAAATCTGTACACGACGACTTAACAGGACTAGTATATTAAGACGCAAAACCTCAGTAATAAATTTCGCAAAATTATATCTCGTTTTACATCACATCAAACAATAGCTACAAATTTTGCTAAGAGGTTTTAATTCGACGACAGAGACAAACTCGAAAAAGTTTATTACTTGTTCATCTTAACGTCACGTCATCAAAGCGAATGTTTGTCAAAAGCGACGGTTCACATCGCGGAACAGGAAGCACCGGGACCGTGCTTCAAATGTAAAAACTTTTGCTTCGTACTTTACGTAATAGCAAAGCAGCCTCAACTTGAGAAGCCTTTACCGAAAAGTTGCTCTCAAAGATGGAATGTTTTATATTTGGTTACTATGCAAAAACTTTTCACTCCAAGGAAAATATAAACAGCTGCGACCGCTTCCGTCTTGTATTTATTTTAAAACGGAATAACAATTATATTAAGCACTTCAGTATAAGTAAAGAACTAGACCTAGTATTTTTCAAACAACTGATTTTGCAAAGTCGTCCGGTCATTAAATTAACGGGATATTGCAGATGTGTTTCCAATTTGGCCATGTGTTTGTAACGGAACGGAAATATGTTTTTTTTTTTGTTTTAAAGATATTAACGGACCTTCCTCAGTAGATCAAATAGCTGTTCACTACCATCAAACTTGTCACCTAATGACCATATGTGTCTTATGTTATCCCAGAGGCATTTTTTTGTATACCGAAGATTTATTGTAAAGGAGAACAGACAATCCTTCTTTTACATAAACGGACAGCTGACCTTGTCCGGCCCTAATAAATTCTAATGTTCGTGCACTGGTCATCTTCAGCTGTTCTTTGCAATCGTGAGAATGCTATTGTGATTGTTGGTTAAGGTGCAATTCCAGCAAGTGTCCCGCCCTTTGACCTCCGTTCTCACGTCTCGGGTCGCGTTATAAAGGCACCCTCTGATTATAAATTCGAGTCATCCGGCGAGACGCCCCGATCAACATCTCGCGGTCCCCAGCTCAAAGGTAAACAAAACATTAATATTGATTCCACGTTGCCTTTGATGCTTTGAGATTATTAACATCGTAGTTTTCTTTTTTTCATGATAATCTTTTCATGATGATTAATTATGTCAATTATCTAATATGACAGATTCGATGGCGTTTACAAATAAATATTTCTAGACCAAAAAATTTTTTAAATTTATACTATGTTACTACTACTGTTTAATTGTTATTCCAGTGTCTAATTACCTCTGGATTAAAACAACTTTGTTATAATCTTACTATTCATTGCTTATTTATCTATGACTCAATTCAATTTTGGTTGAGTCCACAATTCAAAGAACAGTTTAGACATCTAAAATCCCAAGTAACTTTCACCGATTCTATTTATATATTGAAGCATGATACAAATTGAGTTTTATATCAAATTCGAAACTATCAAGAGAAATCTCGAGCATATCCGGGCGCAGACCTTGGGGGAGGAAATCGAGGCTGCCGATAACGCAGGTAGCTTGATCCTTGCACCCTGCAATGTGATCAAATCAAATAAAAAATATCACATGTTAGACCAAACGTTTTTACATAATAACTTCCTCTGCATTCAAATATTGTAGAAAAAAAGCAATATTGTAACGTCGTTACATTTCCCTATGAAAGCCGGATGTTTGAGTACAAACTAGTATTATTCGAATAATACATCCTTAATTTAGATCCGTCCGACAGGATACTATGAAGCGGAAATATATTCACATCCAGAATAAGAAGTTTCCACAAAAAATTCACGAACAATTAATTGGTTTGCTAGTTTTTCAATGGTCACAGACGGATAGTAAAGTAACACCAGACAGTGCGGTGCCCAATCGTAGTCTCTCTCCTGAGTTGCAGATAGACGTATCCTTTGTAAACATTCTCAGGTATAAATTTGTCCTCGTTGCATTGTTCAGACTTAACAAAACAATATAATACACGAACGCGACCAACGTTCCAGGTAACAAAACAAAACCCAAGAATTTTTGCGTAATACGGTGTGAGGAGCCGGATAGAATGATCAAATATACTGCAAACAATGACGATGATACAACGGGCGTTCCATTACACAATCTGATATTTACAGTAGTTTAGACAACAGGAACATGATCATTATAATCCAAATATTCCATTTGAGTAACGTAATTAGTGTTTATTAAACTGTAACCAAAGAGCAGAAAAATACGAATATAGCTTGTTAACAGAAGAAGTTATCAACCATGGTGTATTCGCAAATATACAAAGTTAACGGGATATTTACAGTCCTGAGCTGGCGCTCGCCAGCGGATGTGCCAAATTGGTCCGCGATAGACAGTCGACTCGCCACCCGGCAGACGCCGCCGTGGCGCATTCCAACGTTTCCAACACGGCCACCGGCCACCATCTTGTTTATTTCAGAATTTGAACTCTATTAAGTCGAGACACCCTTTATGAGCCACTCATGCGCCGTTGTGGAACAACACGCGATGGCATATCGTGCACTAAAACATAGCTCGAGGTAATATCTAATGCCCAGACGTCGATCAGAAGTCTACCTACGTCGAAGTATTTTGAAAACATTTTGAAATAAAATTGCTAAAGCTTCGTGGTGCAAGATACTACATTACAGTGGTGTATTTGCATAATACTGGGCGTTTAGTTTTCATTTTCTCCAATTGTTTACAACGTTAAAGTTTGAAACATAGGGACGGTCGCGAGAATTATTTTACGTAAAGTAGGTACTTACAGTGGTGAACTAGTAATTTTTCTGTATGTATTTGCGTAGTTGGCACGTAAGATCAGCATAACTCGCGCGGGTGTGGCCGCTCGATTTAGAGAAATGATGGCGCATAGTACTGATATAATGGTGTGAATCAAGCGTGCCGGAATTCGGACGAGATGATTCTTGTTTTGGGGCATTTGTTCGCGACCTCGATCGCGTGGTATAGTGAGGTCGCGCGCAACTGTGCCAATGTCGCACGGCCGACGCCGACACCGCTGCCACACCGCCTCGGCAATCGTGCGGAACCACCACTTTAAACAGACCCGATGACGCCTACTTAACACGGAACCAACGCACCGAACCCAAGTTATAAACACGATTATATTTTTTACGTCAAAACAGGAGTCTAAATTCAACCGTAAAATGACCCGAAATGCTTTCGCCTTCGCCGCCTACGCGTCTCCCTCATTCTGTAAATAAATGAATCGACTGTGGACGACGCAAGCATTCGTCACGACTATAAATAACGTATGTTCGCACCTTTTTTGGTTGTACGAAAAGACCGGACGCTGCTACCGGACGTTACGTGCAATGCTCTCGAATGATTGTCGTCCTACAAACTGACAATGCGCTTATAAATGCCGGACATAGGTGTCATTCGCACAAAAGTTATTCCTACGGTAACAGAAACCCAAATATAATAATAGTTTTGTGCTGATGTCTAAGTTTATCACATGAGAGTGGGTTACAAAACAATTTAGTTGTTACAAAAAAAATAAGAACTTCTGTAACATGAACACAGTTTGTAACTGCAAATTTGTGTGTACTGAAAAATGCTGGCTTAACATTTCAATTTAGATGTCATTAATACAGTTCTCGGGTGCACAGCTGAGAAAACGCACGACTAGGTAGCTATTAAATCGATCGGGTTGCGTAAAACAAAGGTCTGCGAAACCTTGTGCAAGCGGCTCGGCGCGCCCGCGCAGCGCCGACATATCTGCGGATTTGCGTAACCGCGCACTTATCCGCCGATACGACGCCCGTGTGTTGTGACACGCTCCGATTGCCTACATCTGTGTTCCACTCACATTTGAAATCGTAAACCCATTCCCTTCATCTAAATCAAAATATTATGTGTATATCAAAAACAAAACTGGTAGAACACCGTAACTATAAATTGCTTGTCTTTCAAGAGGGTGCATCATATGATTTGACATTGATACATTCAACAAAAATCAATACGGAGCATTTGGTTATTTTGGTCTTAATAAAAAATATAAAGTTTTTTCATTAAAAAAAATCTTATACAAAAATTTCCAACAGCATGAACCTCATGAAAAACAATGAGCCGCTATATAGTGTCATGATATCGACGTGTTAGTCATTGCATTAGTCGTGAGTAGTCGTGACTACGAAGACGCCGTGAACGTCGAATAATGGCGTCTCGAACCGGCTGCATAACCTTCGTGGCGAGGTCTAGAGCATAAGCTACGCTCATTAAACAATCGCAAAAAGTTTTTACACTCGGTGAGCGCACGCGACCTTATATCCCTGCGTTGGGTGCATTCATATCGCCCCGTGAGGAAAAAAATATGCACGTGCCAGCTATTAGCTGGGGACGAGACGCGGCGTAATTACGGCCGCCGGTGAAGCCGTCTCACATGGCCACTCACCAAGAACGACGCCTGAGAATCACTGACCGCCCCCACGACACACGCCGTCTATTCCTTAAACAATTTCATTTTACGCCGTTCCGTGCGAGTTGCGATGAACCTTTTGCTTAGCAACAGAGTTAGGTCGTAAGATATCCAAGCTGCTGCTGTTGTGTGTGCGGGGCTTTTATTTTTATTGCGATGCATTTTAAAACCTGCCTCGGGACGGGAGGTAGCAAGGTTTCGCGCTGCCCGCGTCGCCTCCGCGCCTGCATCCGCGTCACGAAGGTCGCTGACCGCCAAAACCCACCCGCCCCCAGACTGTAAACACTACCGAGTCGAAAATGTCGAACGTTTCGGTAAAACAGTAAATAAGTTTTGTTCCAACCACAACTATAAACCGAAAACATTAAGTTCTGCGGTACGTATTTCACCATAAAAATAAAACCATTCAAAGTAACAATGAACCAGTCATGACAGGTTTATGATGAATGTCATTCCTTTCAGTGTGTGCGTCATCGTCGCCTTCAATGACGTCACCCATGAGGGAAGGTCTAAATACTCAAAGGGCGACACCCTCAGCACGGGGATGAATCATAGGAAATTTCTCTCAGGTCAATACCACCAAGCCCCTAAGTAACAGCTATTTATGTCTCTCCCAAAATAGTCCCTATTCCAAACAACAAAGGCTCCTTACGCTTATCCTATGTTCCGTAAATATTTTTAGGGATTAGAGACCGAACATCATATTTTTATTTGTTTGTTTGTCAACAGTTAATGCTTTTTTCAACATCTTTGAATATTCGAAAGCTCACTGCGAAGAGCAGAAAACCTGTATCCATTAATTGCCAAGCTCTGTTTACACTTCGAGCGACGCAAAAATATAAAAAAAAGAAACGTACGCGAGCGTCGCCCCACACTTTTTATTTATGCATGCAAATGAACAACACTCGAATAAAAAATATTAAGTTTTATTCGAAGATGATTTTATGAAACCAGGATAATATTTAACAAAGACACGGCGTGTTTAATTTTAATGTTCAGAGTTTTGTGGTACAGGGGAGTGAACGAGCTACCGATCCAATATCGTAAATCTTCCGAGACGTTCTTGCTCTTTACTATCAGCGTTTTCCTGTTTCATCTCTGAGTTCAACAACATTCAATATTCTGCAGACGACAGCCTCTTGCGACCTAAGATTGTGACGTCGGTATTATTCTGAAGTCACATTTTAATTCGGCGATAGTTACGTATAAAAATTAGTGTAGGTGAATAACGCTTAACTCTTTTATCTTCCCACACTAATTTTTATACGAAGTATCTACCTACATAATAATTTTGAACAGATAACTGTAGTATAAAGGTATCTGAAATTGAATATGTTTGTACCCAAAGTTATTCGAGTAAATTTATAGATTTTAATGTCTTCTGGCGTCGTCAAATGTCCCGGAAAAACGAAAAATAATCTTCAGCGGAGGCGGTATTCAAATATAATCAAATACTGGGAAATATGCCCTTAAAAACACGACCTTCATGAAACTTGAAAGTAACCGCCCACACATGACTGAAATAGAACTGTGTTATTAAAATGTATATCAGCGGAATTCATATAATATATTAAACGCAAACATATCTACTGAATTTAATACTCTACTGATTTCTCCGTGGAGGCTCGCGTGTGCACTAAACGCAAAAGAAAACCGGTCAGACAGTGGCCAGAATTGCGATTAAACCTCAATCTGCCTTTGATAGCATCGTGTCTCATATACGTATTATATGGTGGCTGTCCGCTAAATGCTACTGGTTTTGTAAGTACACGAATGAACCAACCGAACGATATTACATTCGATTGTATATTGTGATTTATAAGGTTGGACACGTCTCTCGATCTTATTCCACAGAGACAATAGTTATTATGCTTAGTCACGGCTGTTTATCGTAAGGCTTCCTGTTTTTGTTATCGGTATAATTAGAGTTCAATGTGTGATCTTACATTTGAATTTGACGTGACCGATCGTATTGAAAAACAACAATCTTTTGTCTCTTTTATCTGGAGTTAATGATTCCCTATTAAATTAATATTAGTTTCCAGTTGGAATCTTACTAATATTATAAAATACTGCTTTGACAGAACAGATCATATAATTATCGGTTCTGGAATTTGCCTTGTTAAGTTAAATGAAATTAAAATAAGTAATTAGTTAACATGATGTCATTGAGTAAAATCCCCGAACAATTTCCCTCGTCTTTTGTTTATCTCGATATGATTTAGATAATCACATGACTTATAAGGTGTGTTCCCCAATAATAAGCAATCTAAAATAATTTGTTTTTCTATTAAAGTTTATATGAAAATTGGTTAGTAAAATGTGTTTTTATCATAAATAATTTATTACAAGGAGGAAGCTAGCATTTCATTCAGAGGCGACTGTCCTCTAGCAATCTGAAGTGTAGGCGCATCCTAATCTCGTTCCTAAACAACGCTGACGTAACCCGGTTCACGGTCAGCAAAAGGAAATGACGCAAGCGCAGCCGAAATGTTGCACACACCGCCAACGTTACAACATCGACGAACACAAGCTTGCCAAAACTCTTTGTGACCAATGCAGTCAAATAACTTCAAGTTCGCATCCGACGGACTTGACGCCATTGCCATCGTGACGTGTTTTCATTAATAAGAACGAAATTCTGAAGCCTCAAAAGTTTTCTCTGACGCGAGATCGTGATTTTCCAACTGAATCAGGACTTCTTTTCGTAAAGTTATGATTTATCGGAACTTTAACATTTCGTAAATTACACAAACATGAAACAGAAGAGGTTTTAATGGATTTTTGAAGACACGCTTATCTTGTTCGTGAGCGGGTAATGTAATGACATTGATGCGGGTTGCGAAACGCAACTCTTTTCGTGTTTCTGGCCTCGCGCCGAGTTAGATATTGAAGAATACGTATAATAAATATGAGAACGTACCCGACCTCAGTTCGCGGTCACGGGTTGCGTAACGAACGGGACAACAATACCCTCGTGGTGTTGATGTAACGCATATTATATTA